CATGGCTTCACGGCGCGGAGGCGGCCCGGGGTGCCGGCATGCGGCGCGCTCTGCATGCCCGGACGGGCGCTGGGGCCCGGGGAGTGGGTTGGCGCCCGCGGCCCTGCCACCCGCTCCGGACGGTGACTATTAACATCGCTTCTACGTGTTGATCCTCATGGAGCTAGCAGTGCTGCTTCCCCGACCCCATAGCCTCGCTCCTGATCCAACCCTGAAGCTTTACAGTAGCGTAATGCTCACGCCGGTTCCTAGAAGGGACGGCTCCGACCCGTCCCCTGTGCTGCTGTAATGGTGTAGCCTAAGTAGTGCTCCCTCGTAAAGCTTTGACCTCGCCTTTTATTTGGTAGTTAAGTCTGCTATGCTGCTTGCTTGCTCATGGATAAACATGGTGCTGCCTGGTTTTTTTGCCTTCTACTGATTTTTCTTTTTTCCTTTCTCTCTTTCCGTTTCTTCTCCCTCCCTCCCATATCCTCCTCCACACCCCACACCCTCCTTTATTTTTTTTTTTCTTTTCTTTTTTTTACTGGACTTTATTTTTATACCCATCCACCATTCAGGGAATTCCTCAAGCTGTACTTCCCCCATTACCAAAGAGGCCTGCGCTTGAAAAAACCAATGGTGCCACTGCGGTCTTTAACACTGGTATTTTCCAGTACCAGCAAGCTCTTGCCAACATGCAGTTACAGCAGCATACAGCCTTTCTCCCACCAGGTAAGTGCCTCTCGTTTGCCTTTTTCTGGGGAGGGAGAAGGGGGAATTCTGGAAAAAGCCCGCTAGGAACTAACGGTTTGTTGCTGGCACAAAGGCGCAGAGGCCTGGGCACGGGGCACGGGGCGGGCAGGCTCCCTCAGCCTGCGCCCCGCGGAGCCGGGCGAGGACAGGCAGAGCAGGGGCTGCCTTCTCTCTCCTGCTCGGAAGCTGGGTGGGAGTTCTTCCGGTCTAACATACAACTCAGCATCACGCTCTGTCATCCCAAATCAGAGTTTGAAATCTTCTCTCTCCTTGCTCTTTCCCTCGATTAACTTCTCTTCTTTACGCATCTCTTAAGCTGTCGTATTTGTTTCTCTTTGCTGTAAGACCCCTTTGCCTTCATGTGCTTAGCAACAGTTGTTCTGAGTCACACACTGAAGGTTTTGATTTTAATTATGGTGCAGTGATCGTAAAAGGCACAGGCAGGCAGTCTCGCAGATAGGCTCATCAGGAACCTACACAAGCAACCAAGGTCCAGGCCTCTACCACTGAAGCCTCAGGCTGACTTTGAACTAAGCAGCACCATGGTGCCCTTGTGCTTAGACAGGAGTGATCAAATCTACACTCATCCCAGTGTAATTGCTGAAGAGTTGGTGCCTGCACTATTAACTTAAGCAAAAATCCCTTCAGAGGACAAGCGATGGGACTTCAAGTTGTAATATCTGTTTTGGTTCTGCGAACAGCACTTCATGAAAAACTACCTATGTAGTATGTCATGTGAGTTGATGCCTGTATCAACACAGCTGAGTTAGTTTTTTACATATGAACCCAATTTAAAACAGTACTATCGTTCTGGGAGGTATGCAGAGGGCGTCTGGTAGATCCGTACTCAGAAAATTGGAAGGAGCCTGTGAGGACAGCCCTTCGTAATGCAGACGAGCTGAGGGGAGGAGAGAAGATACAGCTAGTCAGTCTTTATCCTAAACGTTTTTGGCAATTCGGTATAATGCCTTTACCATTCTTTCTTGATCTGGCATACAACCAACAGGTATAATGTAAACGGCACAAAAATCAGTTGCTAGTTGTAATACATTGTAGTAACTTACTTAGGTCCCAAAAAGGCATTGCAGCCGCTGAAATATCTTGGTAAAACCGTGTTGCAAAGCTTGTTGGAGTCAATAGGAGGACTGATAGAATAAGCTTTAAAGCAGATCCCTGGTCCTCATACTAAAATCCATCTAAAAGTGCCTATGGAATCACAGTCCTTCCTGTAGATACTAAACAGTTCCTCAGATTTGTTTTGGCAAAGCGTAACTGATGTAGTTAGTAAGGCAGAATCTTCCAGCTGCCATGAAATCAGTGAGGGGCTGGATGGTTCCTGGAGGTACTCGAGCTGCTTTGGGTCACGCCCTTTGACCATAGAAGCAGGGGTCGTGGTTCGCGTGTGCCGGCCCCCGGGTTTGCCCTCTGTCACCGACCGGGAGCTTGCACACCCGCACTGGCACACAGCCTGCCTCAGCTCTCCTCGGGCACATCTGTGCTGGGGCCAGCAGGAGTTTGTGCAGAGGCTCTTGGTGCTTTGTCTGACCTTTCTTGACCACTGCAGTTTAGCATATGTTAAACAAGGAAAGCAAAGGAATTTTTAGCATGAGCTACTATAGATTCTCATTTTTAGATTTTTCAGATAGCAGCAGTTTGAGCTTTTCAGTAATCCAGTACTTTTCCAAACGTTGGATAATTTTATTTGCCACTTTGGCCCTTTTAGTTTTCCCCACTTAAAATTAACTAGTGCCAGCCCCGCTGCTGCACAGTCACCTGGGACTAGAGTTTCTCCGTCAGTCCCTACGGACCAGTGGGAGAGCGCAGAGTGTGGTGCCCTCAGCTGCGCTGCCACGGAGCAGAGGCAGGGTAGTTCAGTGGCGTCCAAATGAAGTGACATTTTTCAGGTTCAGCCACCCCAGGTGTAATTACTGAGACGTGTTCTCAGCTGCTTCAGCTGTGGAGTGGGAAAAAGCGGGCAGGACACTCACAGAGCCGCCGCGGGGTCGGCGTGTGCCCCCACATTGGAGCTCGCAGCACCCTCCTCTCTGCAGGGTGCTTCACTCTTGACGTTTCACCCTGGAGAGTTTTCCACTCGTGTCCCAGACAATCCTGGATACCTCTTCTAAATTGTGAGGTAATTCTGGCTGCCTCTGTGCCAGGGCATGTGAAAGCAAAGGAAGGGATCGTCGGTGCCGGGGGTGGACGCTGGCACTCCAGCGCACTTCTGCCGAGAAGAGCGCTTCGGCGCTTCTGCCGAGAAGCTCATCTCACCGCTCTCGGATGAAGCTCCCTCTTCGCAGGGCTCCCCCCTTGAGGGCTCCCGCGAGCCCTGGCTGCTGGGACCTGTCCCCAGGCTGACAGGGCAGTCTAAAGCTGTTGCAGGGGAGAACTGGGAGCACTCGTGGTGTTGGCTAGCTGGAGTCAGTGGGGTCAGTCTGCCGAGGGAGGAGACTCTGCAGGACTTGTTCCCGGCTTGTTGTGGTCCCTTGGCCCTGGCTGCCAGCTCCCGAGGTGCGGGCGAGCGTTGTGCTGCGGGGCTGTGAACCCCCAGAGCGGCGGTTACCAGCGCCCACCGCTGCCGCAGAAACCATCAGCTGGCTGGGGGGGCCGGTACGTGCGGACAGAGAGCTCCTACGTGCAGCTACGTGAAATTCCTGCCCTGGCGCTTGTCACCATCGTGTGCCGCGGGTCGCTGTCTCCTCAGCTGTTCCCGGCCTGTGCCTGTCAGCCGGGTGACCAGCCGCTCTTTGGGCAGCGTAATCCTCCCGAAGAAGGGGCTCGGGGTGCAGGATGCCCCCAGGAGCTGTTGTCCTGATGCCCCTGCGAGGGGCAGAGCTGCAGCAGGGCAGCTGAGCCGCGGCGCCGGCCGTGGAGAGGCTTCAGCCACCTCTGCCCTTAACACCTCACGGATTTATTGAGGTACGGCAGCTCCAGCACCGGGGAGCTCCTGTGCCCGGGGGGGACGCGCCCAGCGCGCAGATGCCTCCCTAAAGCCCTGTCTCTGTAAGCACCTTCCTCCCCGGGGCTTCTGGGTCTGTGTGAAAACTCTGCTCTCCTCCAGAATGTCAGGGAGGGGCAGCTCAGGCACCACTGTTCACCTTGGCAGGAGCGCTTGTGCTGTCTGTGGTGATACTTTTAATTAGGATTTAGTAGATTGAGCAGAATAAATAGACTGAGGGGAATCTTATGAGGGAGAGAAGAGAAAAAAAAATACGCAAAACTCACCAGTAAACCTAGAATATTTATAAAAAATACCTTTATCCCACTGCAGAAATAATCTGGTTGTAAAGTTATGATTAGTTAAGTGAGCACATCCTTGAATTCAAATTCTGCCTTGTGCTGAAAAGCCAGGGAACATTGGAAACTGCACATTTATTATTCATGAATTCTCATTAGTCAGTCAAAGGTTCTGAAGTCCGGATGAATATTAAGGTCATAGCAAAAATGATTTTATTACTGGTAAGAGGGTCATACAGCATTATATCTTCATATTTGCAAGTTATTGCACCCTAGCTAGTATTTTCATTTCTGCCTTATGTTCATTTGCTTCAATTCCCTTTCAAAACTGTGTGCACTGGTTGTAATGGTAATGATGAGAACTCAGACTCAGATTCTGAGCTGAAAAGCATTACGGTGGTATTTTAGAGTCATTATGAATATTTAACTCATCTTTAGCATGTAGACGTAATTATGCATGGAGTGACATAATATTCCCCATCTAATGAAGTATGTGCAACCTTATAAATAGTGCACATCTGCACGGAGACAGAGCGCAAAGGTTCTTCTCTGTAACCTCATCAGCACCGTAGCGATGCTGTGAGAGGGACTGACAAAGCTGGTTTACTTACTGTTTGTACTTCATAGCCAAATTCTGCTCCATTTTTTAATCTTGCAAGTGATCCCATTGGCTTCAGCCGTGATGTGTACGTGGGGAAGTCAGGAAAGCTGCCCTTCTTTTAACCTTTCTGTGTGAATATTTTCAGTCTCTTCCATGACACAGAAATAGAAGAGTAATTAGGAAACATGATTATGCCCTTTCCTTTGTAGCGTTAGAGATACAGTGATGACAGAGAGTAACCTTGTCCCCAGCAGTAATTACACTGACTGACTTTGTCCCCGCTTAGTTAAATGCTCTTGAGGCTGTGCGAGCCACCACAGTGCTTGGCACCGGCTGAAACGATTTCCTGTCCCCCGTTACGGTCACGTAAAGTCAAGGGAGCAGCATTGCCGCGGCTCCCGCCTCCAGCCTTCTAGAATGTGTTTCCATCTCACTGCAACCTCTGTTCCCAGATTTCACAGCTTATTTCAGTTTCTGCTGTGTCAAGCATAATTAGTGGTGTTCATAAATGTTACTCATTAAATAAAAAAGTAAATCATTTATTAAAAATGGATATTCTGAAATATCCGTATGTATGTATCTGTCTCATTGGAAGCAAACGCAGAAGTTTCCGAGTTCAGTCTGGTGGAAGGCATTTTGCTCTGTAAAGTAAACAGAATTACCAGCTTAGTGATATTTAAGGGATGATACCTTAATGTTCCTAAAAACCCCGCGCTGCTGTTGGCTCTCTGGTTGCAGGGCAAAATTCCCAGGTGCTGTCACTGTCATTATTTTTGTGTAGCTGAAAGAGATTTGCAGGTTGTGAGCCCAGACACCAGCAGCTTAAAATACGTCCCCTAACGCAGAAGCAAATGCTGAACGAGTGTTCTGGGGTGCTGCCGTGATCTGTGTGGGAGGCCGCAGCCGCGCGGTCACCCCGCTGGGCTGCGCGCTGAGCAGGCAGAGGAGGGCAGCCAGGTCACTGCCACGCCACCAGCAGCTCACTGGGGTCGTGCAGTTGAAGTCCTGCGTGCCACATTGACCCGGGTTTGCCTAGACGTTACCTAAATGTGGGAGCAGACCAGGAGGGCTGGTGAAGGAGCGTAGGTGAAGCCATCGCTCCGCCGCAGCCCGCCTGGGAAGGGCCCGGCTGAGGAGGCTGGGAGGGGAGAGGTGTCAAAAGGCAAAAAGATTTAAGACTGAAAGAGTTTTAAAGTAAAGCTAAGGAAGCTTTTCCTAGCCGTGCTCCTATTCCACGGAGCCAGAAAGGCAGTCAGGGTGCACCAGCACACAGTTGGGTCAGCTCCTTCCCCGTCCCTGAGGACTAGTTCTGATGGATCACTGTGCTATTGTATGGTTTGATTGTGCTGACAGTTACATTCCACTGTTCCCATAATAACAATTTTTCTTCTTTGTTCAAATGAAATTTCTAATGACACGTGTGATGGGTTGTTTTAATTCTTTTCCCTTTCCAAATCCACCTTCCTGTTGCAATGCATGATGGGCAGGCTCAATATTGTGCATGACACCCGCTACAAGTGTTGGTAGGTGCCAGCTTTGTTTCTTGATTATCTTAAACCTGTGGTGCAGCTCACGGACCCTCAAAATCCACTGCTAGATTTTAACGTATAGCTCTCGTGCCAATCCATCTCCCTTAGCCTCCTGCACTAACACCTGTCAATTAAATGCGATTGTTTTATTTAATTGACATGGACACGTAGACGTTGTTAATTTTGTATAGCACTTTGTTGAATTGCACATTGTTCCTTGGTGGATTTTGATTGGACTATGAGTTCCAGTGTTTAGAAACTATCTTGTGTTAAATAAAGACTGTATCTTACCATAGCCACATAGATGTATACTGTCCTTCGACAAGATTAATTTCTGTTTGCAGTAAATATTTGGGTTGAATTTTTAAAAGACAAAAATTTGTAAATATAAGGGCATTTAAAAATTCTTCTGTTGATTTTTGTATTGAAATGGTTAAGCTTGTTTGTGTCAATTTTCTTGATTTGATGGTAACAAGCATTTTCCCCTTTTTTTCTCTTTCATTTCCCTCCCCTCTTTCTCCCCGGAATGTTGTCCTGCTTTGCACTGTGATTGCATGTCACGCGCTGGCAACGATGTCTCGGGCTTTTTGCTGTGATAAATACCATGCTCAATCCTCCTACCACATGTCGCTCTGGTTCCCATACTGCTACACTCTTCTGTATGTTTGCTTATATGATTTTCCTTCCGAAAGTTCCCATGGTGCACGGTGCTACGCCAGCCACTGTGTCTGCAGCAACAACATCTGCCACAAGTGTTCCCTTCGCTGCAACAGCCACAGCCAACCAGGTTTGCTAATTTACAGCTTTGTTCCTTACAGACAACTTGAAATTGGTGCTTTTAATGAGCATGGGGGTTTTGATTCTACCTCTTGTTGGCCTACACATTCTCTCTGAGACCTGCAGCACAGATTAATAAGCCTTTGTCCATGCTCAGGAGGTGCTGCAGTTCCATTTCTGATGCTAAAAATAATTGATAATAGAGTTTCTGACTCAGTCTTAACATTTGTGGGCCACGCTGCTTATTTCTGCTCTCAGAGGTGTATAGAGGAAGGGATAATACACGGAACCCATTATTTATTTCTGTTTCCTTGAAGCCGACAGTTCCTTTTAGTGCAGAACTCCAGTGAAAGCCAGTAAAACCTTTGTGCAGAGGGGTTGCAGGATCACAGTTTTAAGTCTGAATTTAGCAGTCTGAACATGTTCTGACTCTCCTCTTCCAAGAGCAAAACAAAAACGTTGGAGCATGGGCCACACAGAAGCTTCTTTTAAACCTTTGTTTCGGCTTGGAAATGGCCGATTACTTGTGGCCATAGACAGACTTCAGTTACGAAAATGTCCATTAGAGTCTGGTTTTAGTTCTAAATAGCTGCCCCGGTTGTTGCCATGTTTGGATGTGTCTCAGGAGTAGAAGAATAATGTTTTGCTAAGTAAGTGATTAAAAGTCCTCCCAGAAAAGGCAGAAGCGATGCTCTAGAGATGAGTACCATGGGCCAGAGGAGCTGCAGCCCCCACACCTGCCAGCTGGAGCTGCCCCTGAGAGCGGAGCGTGGCTGGTGTCTTAACCTAGCTGGGTTGTCAAAAACGCAGGTTTCTGTAGTACATCTGGCTGTAAGTGCAACAGTAAACACTTTTTAAAGACCCTCTTGTTCCTCTTACAACAAAAAAAAATATTTTTTGAGATTTGCTAGGAAGTTAGAATTGCCTGTGCCATGAAGCCTTCAGCTCTGGCCGGACGTGCGGGCGATGCTCTCCACTCCGTGGCACTCACTCGTGTGCCTTTTAGAAACGGGAGCGAAACATTTTCTTCAGCACTTTGCAGGTGTGGTTCTGTACGTGTAATGAATTCCGGAGATAAATGTCAGCTCCCTGCGTGGTTAGAGCTAACTCCTGCAGAGCTCCCGCCCCGCTGGGGAGCTGCGGGGGCTGTGCCCGGGGCTGGGCAGCGGTGCCGGTGCCCACCCGCCCCCCCGAGCACGGCGTGGGTGCTGCTGCCCTTCAGCCTTCCCTCCAAGCATTACACCCTTGCAGCGATACGCAGGAGTGCACCCTCCCGAGTCTCAGAAGGGACCGGGATGTGTTACAATTCCAAATAAATACTCAGGTTAGTCTGCTTAGCAGGTGGCACTTTCTGCTCTTGGGAAATGTTTGCTGAACGACCATGTCACTCACGGGTTTAAACGAACATAAGAATTCCTTTGTATTTGGAAAAGCTGGTTTGTCAGTAGGGCTGCCTCTGCGTACGTGTCACCTGAGCAAGCAACCACCTGTATGCCCAGAGTATCTTAATACTGTAATTTATTGCACCAGAAGTTACTTTAAGTGTGTCCTTATATCCTCCGTAAGCCCAGACAGTTGTGAGGGCAAGCCAAGCCACAGAAAAACATTATTATTTTTTAAAATCATCCTCTCTAAATAACCATGCACTTTCCCAAATAGATAACGGGGAAACTTTCTGTTGTGGAATCTGATCATTTCATGCATATCCTCCCTGGAGCCTCATAACACACTTAGTACAGTACTGCAGCCAAACCTCAATATATACATATATGACCAATATATGTATATACTATGTGAGCAATGCTGGAATTATTTAATGCCACACGATGCAATGTGCATGCATGCCAAAAGTCTTAAGATCTGGCCCTTCATCTTCATTGACTGGTGTTGAAGGTCCTTGGTATGTTCCGACAGCACTATCCCTGACGCTTCTACACACTTGGGTGCAACAGCCTGTCCGGCAGCAGTAGAAAAAAATGGTATGAGAAGCTTCATTATGCTTGAAGCACGTTTCTGTACAAGTTGGCAATGTTGTAGTTGTATGGAGTTGCTAGGGGAGGAGAGGGCACAAGGGGTGGAAAAACCGACACCAAGACCCGTAAATTCTTTAGTTAAGAATCCTCCCCACTCCCTTTCTTGTGCGGGTTAACAGGTCGGCCTTAGATCAGGAAAAAGAGTCTTTTCAAGTGCAACAGCCCTTTGTGATTATACAAATCAGGTTTGTGCCATGTGCCCCAGCACGTCTCCCTGCACGTGGGCGATGTGCCGGCTCCCTCCAGCCGGGCGCGGGGTGCTGTCTGTGCTGTGGGGCCGCTCGCGGTTCCTCCGCGCTGGCCCACCCTGGCACTGGCCCTCCTCGGGGTGCTGGCTGTCCTGGGGGTGCTGGCCTGCGAGGCCTCTTCGGGCTCGCTCCCGCACGCCGAGGGCTTCACCCATGGCTGGGACACACAATATAAGTTTGTCATTTGTACTGCTGGTAATCTGCTCTGATTTTAATACCTCTTTTTTTTTTTTTTTTTTTTTTTTTAAACTGAGTTGATGGGCCACTTCAAGAGAGCCACGTACTAAATTCTGTTTACGCAGACAAACATTTTGAGAATTGTTTCACTGCTTCGGGGCGTCTCGGCTTGGCGGCCGGTCAGCCGTGGTGCCCGCAGTGGGAAGAGCAGGCAGCTCCTCCGACAGCGGATTTTCACCAGCTGTGAAAATCGAGCTCAGGGCATCTTAGGTTTGGCTTTCAGAAACCAAGACAGTGGAAGCAGTGAACACTTCACAAAATCAGACTGAAACAAGGCCGCTGTAGAATTTATCATTTGAAATGATACACTGAAAGCACAGAATTTTGTGTAGGCCAACAAAAAGGGCTATTTTCGATTACTGCACTGCATGACTTTGGTAGATTTTAACTTCTCTTATTTCCTAAACAACCAATAATACTTATTTATATTTGCCAAGTAGTACTTAACACAATGTGTTCCCGTTTTAAGTTGCTATTGTAGCACTTCAGTTGACTTTAACTTATAGTTACAATATAAAATCCACCAACTCACAGCTGATCCTCACTTTTCCAAACATGTTCTATAGCAAAATGCTGTGTCTCTGGGTTGGCTCCTTGCACATGTTACTCATTGTTTAAATTTTTTACCTATAGATACCCATAATATCTGCCGAACATCTGACTAGCCACAAGTATGTTACACAGATGTAGACATTTTGTCATCAAACAGTAAGTTCCCATTGTGTTGTTGCTTGTGTTTTTCTTACGTTTGTGTATGCATGATTAGTCTTTTTCAGGGGCAGAATGTTTTTATTTTCTTACTAAGAAAACTGACATGGGGGAAGAGGCTCTGACCCCGCTGATGTGCCATCCCTGTCCGAGTGGAGATCCCGTAGTTAGTGACCACCCCAGCTAGTGTGTCGGACCAGATGTCAGTATTAGTTTGTACGTCTCCACACAGCAAAACCAGAGAGCCTAAAACCAGTTTCACCTCCTGTTTGTAAAGGGTGATGGCTCCAGCACTGACGTGAGCCGAGGGGCAGGTCTAGGGGGGAGTCGGTTACGTTAAGCTGTCTTTAGAAAAGGAATTTTCGATCTCCAGGTTTGGAAAGGCAGCATCTCTGAGCACACAGGTTTAGTCACCTGCCTAGCTGAAGCCTGACGCCCTTGCCGGCGGGTTGCCAGCCTGCAGTGGGTGCCCAGGACTGTCCTGGTGTGGGTGGTGCTGCGGCGAGGCGCCAGTGGCGATGGCAGACGGCCCGCGTCAGCTCTTGGGCTGAAACCTCTATCCCGTAGCTCGAGGCCCGGGTTTGTGTGCCTAAACTTGATTTTTTTTCCCATGAGTAAACTGCCGTTTCCAGCCTGTCCCTAAATTGCCCGTTGCCATTGAGACCCTGCACAGCACGTCACCTCCCCTGGCATAGCCTGGGGTTCGTGTCATCTTTCTTTCCCTTGTGCTTCATTTCTGCTGTGGTTCTTACCAAATGGCCCTGCCAAAGCGGAATTACTCTTACGGGGAGGATTAGCTGATTTGCCATACGGGGTTTATAATAATAGTTACTCCTTATTCAGCTGAGCATAAAGGCTGTTGAGGTGCTCGAGTGGCTCAGGTGGGACGGCTCTTCCCTGCAGCCTGAACTTGCTGCCAGGCTTCCCTCTGCCCTCCCCGGTCCAGAGACTGCCCCGGGATGGGGCAGGACTCGCTCTCCAGGGGCATCTGGACAGCAGGGACAGGCAGCAGGGACCGGAGAAGCAGCTACACTGGGTGGGCAGCTGAGGAAGGAAAATGACTTGGGAACAGAGGGCCCGGATTTCTAAGGACGTTGAGGTGCCTCTGCAGTAGTGGTTGGGCTCCCAGGTTTCAGGGGCAGCAGGGTCTGGGAAGAGAGGGGGGCACGGGGCTGCACTTGGAGGGGAGCTCCCTCCTCGGGCCTGGGCTTTGGGGTCGGGGAGACTGTCCCCCAGATTCTGATCCCACCATGGGGGGCTCGGCAGGAGCGGGAGGCCGGTGTGCTGTGTGCTTGTGTTACAGCAGAGCTCGGGTGTGAAGTGAACCACAGAATCACAGGACAGTTTGGGTGGGAAGGGACCTCAAAGCCCACCCAGTGCCACCCCCTTCCCCGGGCAGGGCCACCTTCCCCCAGCCCAGGTTGCCCAAAGCCCCGTCCAACCTGGCCTTGAGCCCTGCCAGGGAGGGGGCAGCCACAGCCGCTTCGTGCAGCCGTAATGAAGGTGTCGGGGGAACATCACCGAGGGGGATCCCACCGGGGCTGGGGCACAGGCTTCCCCCGCGCTTGGCGGCAGATTTCTCTGTTGCAAGTGTAAAGCTTGGGCTGACGCAGGGCTAAGCAAAATTTAACGGCTGTGTTGAAAAGGCTCGATCTTCTCTCCTTCCTAGATCATAACTAAAGAGAAACGGACAGTGTGTTTGGGTTGAGAAGAGGACAAGCTCATTAGCCATAGTGTATATACCGTCAAGCAACACTCGGAAACTCCCTCAGCAGTAAGACATCACACGTTGCATGTTAACGAGATGAAACGAGAACTTGGAAATCCACTGCACACTGTTGCCTATATACTTTGTACATTTAATTGATATTTGTGCTGAGGTGATCTTATTGTCTAAAAACTACAGCATTGTCTATCTTTTCCGGCACAGAAGTATGCATACGGATTTGAATATGCATATGTAGTCTGTTTCCCACATAATCATGTACGTCACCTTGAAAAGACAGACAATGGTGTAACCATAAATCTATTATGTATTGGTACGTCTGTAGACCAAGATATAATTTTTTAAAGTAAGTTTATTTCTTTCAAGGTTTACAAATAACAAAGGTGCACCTTGTATTTAAAATTGCCATTATAGATGAGAGCGTGCATGCACAGTAATTTTTGTTTAAGAGTAATATTTTTAATGTAATAGATTGTAAGAAGTGGTAAGAGAGGTATCTGACAGATGAATGTGCCAAGCAAAACCACAACTGTGTATATTTTAAAGCACATCAATGGCTTTAAGTACCATGTTGTTAAGGATTCTCATGAAGTGCCATAGACTGTACATCCGATTGGAGTATTATTTCTGCAGTGTTATTTTCAGAACCACGTTTTCACTTACTTTATTAGTACTAATCAGTCAAAGGGCACCATTCTGTTTCAAACCAAAGCTGTCTCAGAAATGGCCATCTATTCCTTACAGTAACAGTAGACAGCACAAGAAAGATACTCTAGCCGTACAAAGTAACCCTTACTGGACATATATATAAACTATTTTAAGGCATTGTAGTGTAATATTTATGCATATTTTACTGTATAACATGATATATGAAAGGGAAAAGCCATTTCTGAGACACAGTAACAAATGTTTGAGGAACTTCTTTTGCTTCTATTTATAGCCTCTGTCGAAAGTCAAAAGGACTATAAATGTTTTGCAGAGATGGGTTTCACTTCATCAAAGTCACGCTTTACACGGTGACTCTAAACAAAAACGAAAGAAGCACTGACACCAGATGCATGACAAACCAAAATATGAAAAAACGGACATGTTAATTAGCGTAGAAATTGGGTGGGTTAAATACTTGGGTGAGTTTTATATGTGATTTTTTTGTTCAGATTAACTGCTTATAGCCTTAGAAAGCCTTTACGAAATAAAAACAAAAAAAATAGATGTGCATTCAAGTTTTAAGAATGGATTCATCCAAAGGAATTCCTTTTTGTGGTTTGGATGTTGCAGCTAGTAAAGGATATTTTTGCTCTGTTCAGCAAAGTGCTGAAGTGGGGGCCAGGTCACTGGTAGCGTAGCGTGGAGTGGAAGAAGCGCGGGTTCGGTTGTAGAACTCTCCATACTTCCAAGTTTACTGCGAGTTTTTATGCTTGAGAGAGATGCTTTATAGTATAAGAATGATGTGTTGATTTTACTGATTGTACTGTACATCTATTAAAGCCTTAGATTATTACATTACGGGTTAAAACCCATACCAATGTAATTTCAATCGTGTTAAGAAAGTATAGGTGACTTCACATGTTATTGTAGTTACTTAACATTATAGAATATTACTTATTTTTTTCTTGTTAAAAGTGTAGTTTTTGTTTCTTACATTTATTAGATTGTTTTCATTTTCTATTACCAGTTGAATACCATTTCAGTTTATAGAATTTTGTTTTATTAGAGTTTACTGATGACTTTTTCAAAATACAAAAAAAAAAAAAGTAGTTTTCTTCATAACATACTCAGTTTTAAATTTACATGTAGTGTCATATGAGTATTCGTATTATTGTTAACTAAATGATTTATATTTTACTGATTTAATATTACAATGTAAGAATGTCAGTCATTGTTAGTTCTTGTCTAGTTTTCATTAAAAGAACAAAGATCTTTTATATGGATATCTTATAATTATATAATCATTGCTAAGTAAGAAGTTAAGTTGTTGCTATCGCAACAATCCTGGCAGACAATTGAGTAATATTTTGATGATTTATTTTGTTTGTAATTAGTTATTATGAGAAAATCTAGTTCCTAGATATTAGAATAAAATTTATTTTCTACTGTATCCATTTCAAATGTTAAAATATTGTTTAAATATTTTTTGAAATCCCTGAATATCAGGCCTTGTTATAAATAAGCTGCATAATCAATAGATCAAGGGACTTTTTGTTGATAATCCAAATACTCAAAGTTTACGTAACAAGAATTATAGTGTGTGTGTGCAAACTCTTGAGGGTTGATTATGCTGCAGTTTAGCATGTGGGAACGTATAGAGAGAAGGTTGACTTTTTGCACTTCTGTATATAGTCAAAAAAGAGAGAAACCTGTATAATAGTAAGATCTTATTTTGAATAAAAATGTCTATAATTACAAGGAGTTTTGTTAAGGCTAATAAAATGACAGGCTGAACAAAATTGCTTGCAAAAGTGGCACAGAGTTAGCACTCCATACCCCTTCAAAAAAGTTGCTTTGCTTTTTGTGGACAGCTTGTAGTTTGCCAGGATTTTTTCAGCTGGAAAGATATGCCATCCTTCCAAGATCTCATGACTGACAAAAGCTCCACTGGTTCAAATCTGCCTGAAAATCATTAATTTAAAAAAAAAAAAAAAGAAAAAAAGCGCAGGTACTTCAGACCATCAAGGTGAAACCATGGATCAAATATTCCGTACATTATTCAAAAACTACTGCATGTTTAAAGTATCAAAAAATATATTAAAGATATATGCTATTCAAACCAGTTTCTGACAATTTCAGTGGTTTATTGTTCACAAAAAGGATTCTTCAAAACAAATACTGACTTTCACAAAAGAGTTAAATCATGAACAGGCAAACCAAACAGCACACCGTAGCTGTAGTTGTTATGTGATTATTTTTTATTGCTGTAGTGGTCCTGTTCTTTTAGCAGGTGAAAAAAAAAAAAAAAAGCCCTGGGAAATTTTAGTGTTTTAATGGAAAGCGTTCAAGAAACCTTGTCATGATGTATGCCAAAGCTGGAAGAAGTGGTTGGGCCATTGCTGTATCTGATCTCTCCAGTACTCACACTGAATAATTAATGAAGTTGCACTTATTTGCAACCCCGCAACTTTCATCTGCTGAAAGGACAGATGTGCTTGGTTTTACTATTATGTAATCACAGACTTACTTTTTGCTTGTAGTTGCTCCAAATTATGTACTCTGTCCTGGGCTGCAATTTGTTTTTCTGCTTATTTTATTATTACTGCTATAGTTGACCTTGCTGTATGGAAAAAATAAAGTGAAATTGCCCTAATAAAAGTTCTCTTTCTCAATTATGTTTTTCTAGGTCGGGTTAAAAAACCACACCGCCTGCTCTTGTACACATTTCTAGCTTTACCTGCGCGTTTGACTGAAGGGTTATCATTTATTTGTGGAAAAAGTGTCCCGGTATTGCGCTTTTTTCGTCCCCAGCGCGTAGTGTGCTGAGTACGTGGGATATATCTTAGGAATGCCCAGCGCAGGTGATCCCCGCCTTAAACCCAGGGCTGAAGGGCCCGGGGATGCCGCGGGTCAGTGCGGGGCCCGGGGATGCCGCGGGTCTGTGCGGGGCCGGGGGATGCCGCGGGTCTGTGCGGGGCCTGGGGATGCCGCGGGTCTGTGCGGGGCCGGGGATGCCGCGGGTCAGTGCGGGGCCGGGGGATGCCGCGGGTCTGTGCGGGG